CAAGTTTAAACTGGGATCTTGAAACAATTTTTCAAATCACATTTCAACAAATATCTACTTATTTTGCATGAATTCTTCCTAAGCACACAAACATTAGAGAAAAACTGGAGAAAAAGGAGAATAAATTTCCAAACGCTGCATTCCATTTGAGAAGGGGGAGAAAGAAATGAGAGCAAGGCAAAAAAAACCCCACAAATGTCAAATTCAGAGTGGCTGAAGACACACTGAAGCGCTTCCCTCAGGCAGATCAGCCGCACACAGATGTAATTCAACTGTTCTGCCGTACCCGTCGGTATCCTGAGCAAGATCCGAAAGAAAAACTAGGAAGCTGAGATACAAAATAGATCTATCACACTACAAAGGTTATTTCAAAAAGCAGCTTCCTATGTTTTAGAGAACCTAAAAACAAGTTCCTACCATTTCACTGTATTTGCTATTTCTTTTTCTCCTGTCCAAGCCCAAGCTCAATGGAAATGGACAATATTGATTCAACTCTGTTAATGGTCACAGTAACAACATTTGTGCCTTAAGAACTTACTGATTGAAGTTGTGGTCATCTGCTGATAAGCCGGTGAGTGAGAAGCACCCAGACACAAAGGAACCCATTGAAACGTGTGTAACTGTAAGTCTCTAATTATCCTTTCTAATTTTGGAGCCATGTGACAGGACTTTACACAGCACCACTGAACCCCGGTCAGCCTGAGTGCCATGAAGCTGGACCACACAGGGAGGGGATGTTCCTCATTGCTTCTTCATTAAAATATTGTATTCCATGTTCAGGGTGAGCTGTTTCTGGCTGACATGTAGCTCACTGGTCAAAAGGCAGGCAGAGCATCTGAGAGAATTTGTTAGGTTGGTGCAAAAGTAATTGCAGTTTTACCACTGAAAGTCATGACAAAAACCATAATTACTTTTGTGCCAACCCAATATTCCTGTCCAGATTTATTCCAGGATTTTAAGAGGCTTTTTCACCTTACAAAGAGTGAGACAGTTGATGTTACAAAGGTATATAATACTTTTAAAGACAAATAGACGAGCACTCAAAAAAAAAGTCTTTCTCAACTGGATATTACAATATTATAGGTTTCGAATATTTTCTTCTTTGACTTGAGTAGAGAGAGTGGTAGAGACAGAATGCTTGTTCTGCAGAAAGGAAAATTGCCTTGCTAAGAGAACTTTTTGTCCGCATGTTCATTTTTCCTTGTGGCACCTAGGAACAAGCATTCTGTCTCTAACAGAGAGTAATAGGGAAGAACAATGTCCCTCTGGCCACCAAAGGATGGCTAAGCTCAAGATTGGAAGGTATTCCTGAGAGAGAGAAGAATCAAGTGCCACAACACCCCAATCACCTTTACCAACCTCTTGCCTCTTTCTTTAATGAAGCAATGCAGCTGAGAACAATGTCATCCTGTGTTCAGAACAAATGACTGTTGAATACTCCCACTGAAATAACGTTTAATGACAAAGTAAAGACACATCTTGAAACAGAAAAGGATTTAAAAGTAAATCTAGGCAATACCAAAGTGAATACATTTTTGTTTTGTTTAAGATATCTGGTCTTGTTCTAAGATCTACCATGAAATAATTATAACTTGATCCAGTTCAGCATAGTTCAGTAAGAGCACAGGCTCTGGAGCCTGACTGCCTGTGTTTGAGGGCTGAGTATGTCACTTACCATCCATCTGTGTGACATTGAGCAATTTACTTAACCTCTCTGTACTTCATTTTCCTTATTTGGAAAATTAGAACACTAATGGTTTCTTTCTTCCTCCTAGCTCATTGTGAGAACTAAGCATCATGTGTTTACCAAATAAATAAAACTCATGGGCTACACAGGACACACAATTATGTTTAGAGACTAGCTAAAGTAATAATATGTTTTACGAGCTAACGACTAACATTGTATACATTAAAATCAATACTGAATTTCCTTGGATCTTGTCTACCAAATATCAAGGAGGCGTGATCAGGGAAGAATTCATTTATTCCTTTTCTTTTGAGCCTTTCTCCGAGCTCACTTTACCCAGTATGATCAGACACCCACCACTGGCAAGGAAGCAGGAGAGGCCAGTGAATGCAGATGGAATGGCAGGCAAGAGCACTTCTTTTACTTATCACTTTTCTTTTGTAAATATATTACTACAATTGGATTTTTTATTTTCCTTTAATTCCAACACGGGGACCCTTGGTGCTTGGCTGAGGGATAGGCTTAACACCTTGATGTCTACTTCCTTACCTCTGCAGAGGAATGTTTTAATGCAGATGAAATTTTAAAAGGCCAGCTCATTGATCGATTTAAAAATTTATGGAAAAGTGTTTATTATTGACCTGGTAAATTTTCCCTGAAATTGAACGCATACACCACCACCAACAACAAGAAGCAGCAGTTCTACATTTAGGACTTGGTTTCTTGGAAACAGACCATCTCAGACTTCTGGCTTATGGAGACGTGGCATGAGAGAAATCAGATCAAAAGAATAATAACAATATAAGACCTGGCGCCTAGAATAGCGAATGAATCTGGCTTCGGAACCAGTCAACTTGAATTCCAGTACAGTATCTTTCACGAGAAAGTCATATAGCTTTGCGTAATATATCCCACAAAACTGGAATACAGATTCTATAGTACTAAAAAAGGCTATCTGAGGCCCCTTCAAGTAGTAAAATGTGATTAATTCTACAACCTGCAATACTAACACAATTCTTCTGTGACTGCAACTTCCCCAAATCACCCAGGAAGGCAGAAGGGGTAAAGAAAAATACGTTTTCCAGTTTCCTTAAAATTTCTTAGAATCATTAAACCTGCCCTACCTTTTAACCTTGAATAGAGACACACATCACAAAATAAAACTTCCTCGACATATAACCACTTATTATCATACGCCAACCTCAAAGAACACAAAATGAGGGGTCCTGCCAAGCTGGTCTGTCCAAGCCATGGGCAGAGTTCAGGGAAAGCTAGGGTGACCATCAGTCAGGAGTTGTACAGGACGAGTGCCCAGGCTAAGGGAGAGGTGGGCTGGCACATCTCCAAGGTGCTTGTCACTTAGCACTAGAATGTGGTCCTTTATCACTAGACAAGACCTCCTGGTTTGACAATGCAGGTGACACAGCTGAAACTTTATCTCAGCATGGCCTGAAGGATACCACTGTCTAAATCTGAGATGCTAAAATACTATAGCCTACACTGATACTCTCTCCAAACTATTTAACTCTGTCCATCCTCATGACTCGCACTCATGCTGGCCCAAATGATGACAACTTCCTGTTCTAAGTGCTCTAAGTGCACAAGCCTCACATTTAATAAACCTTTCATCCAATTCCTTCACTGGTGTTCATCTCTTGGCTTCATTTACATCCACTCCCTGTGGCTTCTGCAGTGAAGCCTCTCAGCCCGAAACTCTTCAGCTTTCAATTTTGGGATATATTACCATGTTTGGTCTTAATATAAACAACTTCCACTCACCCTAGAATACTGAGTGGAATTTCAGTGAAATTATATGCATACCTGTCCTACAGCATTTTATCACAATTTGCAGTCCTCAGAGATGACGGTGAAAGGGGAAGATTAAGGTGGGACCCTCCACTGAGGGGAGCCCCCTCTCAGAGACACTGTTTTCAGTGATGCCTCCCTCTCCAGGACTCTTCCACTGAGAGACACTCTGATCTCACAGATACAGGATGTCTAGACGTGGACTAACTAAGCAACCAGTTCATATGCACACATTTACCCAGGCTCTGCAGCATACCACATCTTGTGCAAGGTACTTTGGTCTCTATTAACCCTTTAAATCTCATGGCCTCACAACACACAGGATCATTAACTCCATTTTGAAATAAATAATTCAAGTTTCAGAGAAAATAAGTGGCTTGCCCAAGTAATTCAGACCAAAGTCTTGTGGTTTGGACACCTTGTTCTTTTTATTCTCACCGTGACCCAGTAAGACAACCAATATCCACAATCCATTTTCACAAAGAAATGCATAGCTACAATGTCACAAGGTGCCAATCCTGAATTTGCCCATCCAATCAACTATAAACCTACAAACTGATTATAGGAAATGCTCACCACAGGGTAGACTGCTCAAAAAGAGAGGTTCATTGAAAACCTGTAATACGAATAGGAAAGCACTGGCATTATTTCATACAGCTTTAAACAGCTTTAAAATAGTTTATCACCATTTAACTCCCTCAACCAGCTACACACACACACACACACACACACACACACACACACACACAAATATATCAAAACAAAATTCATAAAATTGTATTGTCACAGGTAGATAACCTGAGGATGACAAGCATGAAGAAATGAAATGCTGAATAACCCATAAATAGAAGCGGAATCCCCAAATGACAGGCATGGTGCATATAATGTACATAATTTGTCATTTTAGCTCCCAGATAGACTAACATCTTAAAGTAGAGAGAGAAAACAAACATGGAGCTTAGACCAAGATATAAGCTCTCTCAAGCATGTGTCTAATTAGATTCTTCCTTCAACATCTCAGGAACAGAAAGACAGAACAGGACCTCTAGAAGGGCTGGAAGAGACTTTGCTGACTGTATAGTCCAACACTTTAGTTTCCAATTAAGGAATCTCTGAGCTAATTAAACAACCTGCTTAAAGTCATCAACCACCCTCAGTGCCAGACTAAAGCTACGATCTCTCAGTGTTCTTTTCACAGCACCACGTCACTGCCATCACTGGAGCTGATACTTTACTCATCGTCCCCAAATGTTTGTTTGCTATCCAATTTTATATATAGCTATCCAGGAAATACCACAGGCTAGAATGATCACAGTTTGCCAATTTGACAAACCACTAAGGTGTGTCCTGCCTGCCCTAAAACTCAAATTACTTTTTACTCACATCATTTGCTTATATCCACAGAAACTGACCAAATGATTTAAAAATATATTCCACACTCAGATTTCCCAAAGAAGAAATCCTACAAAAACCACCAGCATGAAATTAATGAGAATGGGACTAGTACCTTCCCCAGAAGGCAATCTCTGGGGTGCCTTTCGTGTAGATGGAGTCGCTGGCATCATTCAGCCCATTGGTGACCCCACTAGCATAGCTCATCACGATTCCACCATCTGCTGACACACTCAGGACATCCTGATGTCCTCCCCCTGATGTCCTCTCCAAGAACTGACCGCCTTCTTTAATGCGCTGTTGTATCATTGGAGTGAGGGGCATTTCAAAGCTAAAATAGCTATCAGGCTCTGAGTATAACGTCTCCAAGGACTCCGCACTGTAGTATAAAGAAGTGTTGTCCAAAATGGTTTCAAACTGGGAGCTGTACACATCAGTGGAGTCCTCCGTATATCCAGGCCCAAGGATGTCTTCATCTTCCCCCTTAACCTGCTCCTCTTGTTCAGTGATCCTGAAAAGTAAGTAAGAGTGAAGAATTCCAATATTAGGTTAATCTCTTTATTTCTCCCTCTTTAACTATATGAAAAGGACAATATTCTAGAGATCTAACTCTTGTATTCAATGATTTATATCTTAATATATTTGGAAAGGAAGCTACAAAGCATAATCAGGTTGAAAAATTCTCAGTATGCACATGGCTAGGACACTATAAATCTAAGAAAGTTTCAAACTAGTTTGCTAATGTGTGAATACATCTGGTCCAATGAATATATGAAGAAAATATTCAATTCTCATTTTAGCCAACTATACTGTACATATTCAGATGATTTGCAACTACCAGCATTCCTAATTATAACAAAAGCAGATAAATATATCATGTAAACTTGATACAGCAAAATTTCAGTAAAAAACACACTAAACTTTCATCAGTTTATTAATACCTTCTGATTTAAATAAGGCCAAAAGCTCTCAAGCAGATGACTACAACAGAAGCCAAGAGCTGCCCCCTGCTGACAATAAAGCAGCACTGCAGAGAGATTTCAGGTCCAAAATTAGCCAATGAATGGCCTAACAAAAGCTAACAGAAGTAAGGCTAACCAAAACCTTGAGAGTTAAGAAACAGCTCAAAAGTCAATATACAGGGAAGGGTATTAATTTTGCCACACAAATGTGAACAATTAATATGCAGCATGTTTTTCGAATATTAAAAATGAACATTAGGATAACTAAGTAAAATTAAAAACTTGGGAGCTAGATCACTAGTTAAGAGCAAAAGGTCAAGAGTTAGAAAAACCAGAAGCTGAATTTTGGCTGTCTCAATTACTAGGTATATCACTTGAAGCAACTTTACTTAACATCTCTGAGCCTCAGATTCCTACAAATAGGAATAAAATAGAAATAGGAATTATCTATTAAGCATCTCATAAGTCATCCACATTCCCAGGTATTACTGGAATCCACATTCAACACTGCAGTTAGTGTGTTGTTTTTAAATACTGAAGGTCACCTATGGACCAAATGCTATGCTCTTTATGGCTTCCCACCGCACTTGGAATAAATTGGACCATTCCTAAAATGATACTCCTCCCCACCTCTCCACACTCACTGTACCCCGCTTTCTCCCCTGGTTTTTTTTTTCCTAACTCTTTTGCTCACGCTGGGTGCACTGGTGCAATCTCGGCTCACTGCAGCTTCCGCCTCCCAGGTTCAAGCAATTCTCCTGCCTCAGCCTCCTAAGTAGCTGGGATTACAGGCATACACCATAATGCCTGGCTAATTTTTGTATTTTTAGTAGACATGGAGTTTTACCACATTGGCCAGGCTGGTCTTGACCTCAGGTGGTCCACCTGCCTCAGCCTCCCAAAGTGCTGGAATTACAAGTATGAGCCACTGCGCCTGGCCTCCCCTGCTCTTCAGGCATCAGTCACACTGGTGGAGTTTCAAATCTTCAAACCTGGGATAGGCCTTGGCTTTACACTTCTGCAGGAAGCACACACTGGTCAGGGAGCACAGCAGCCTCCTGTGCATATGCTGTGCCCTTCCTCTACCTGAAACATTCTTCCTAACCCTTCTCTGCCTGGCAAACTCTTATTCCTTCCTCACATCTCAGTGTAATTTCCATTTCCACAAAAAAGCTTTGCCCACGGCATCAATCGAACTGGCCTCTCCCTTCCTTGCAAATTATTCTTTCTAGTAGGTCTCTATTGTTTGCCTTCACAAAACCTAGCACAGTGTGTGATCCTATACCTATTAGCAGGTTTATGTGATCTGTATTTATCTTCAGCGGTAAATTCCATGAGGACAGTGACCGTGAGCCACATCTATTTTGAACATTCCTTTATGCCCAGCATCTTGCAGTGTCAGGACATAGAAGACCGCCAAAAAATATTTGTGGGAAGAAAAGAGGAGTGAGTTATTAGTCTGAACAGCAATGTATTTTCCAGTGGGAATATAAACACGGAGCCACATGCCACATATCAAGGGCGCTTTGGAGGGATGTCTAGAGAGCTAATGGGTTGGGGAAGGGAAGGGGGAAGGATCCTGCTGGTGATCCCAAAGGAGCAGCACTCCCAGTGGGTTTGTTAACTGCAGAGGAAAATGCATTTCCTTACACTGAACAAGAAAACAAAAAACAACCCTCAGCCTTGACACAGATGTTCTCCCACATAAACTATAAAATACAGTGTCATGAGGATTGACAGAAGAAAAGATGGTACAAATTAGAAGTACAGTATACAACAAATGACTACAATCAAAGGGAGTGAAGAAAGATGGGTCATGTCTCCCATTTATCCGGGTCTAGGCTGGTGTAGATGTCAGAAATCCAGAGAAAAACCAGGAAATACCACATGATGCCAAGTTTCACTTATAAAGGCCATAAATCTCATAAGTAGGAGTTGAACAATGAGAATATATAGGCACAGGAGGGAAACATCACACACTGGGGCCTGTCAGGGGTGGGGGGCAAGGGAAGGGATAGCGTTAGGAGAAATACCTAATGTAGATGACAGGCTCCTAGATGCAGCAAACCACCAGGGCACATGTATAACCTATCTAACAAACCTGCACATTTTGCACATGTATCCCAGAACTTTAAGTATAATAATAAAAAAAGGTCATAAATCAAAATATATGCTACTTATGAGAAGAAGAAATTCCCATGTGAATACCAGTGAACAAGTGAATTAGAAAGTCTACTTCTGACACCCTGAGATGTCATTTCTAAACATAGGAAGGGTCGGGCACAGTGGCTCACACCTGTAATCCCACCACTTAGGGAGGCTAAGGTGGGAGGATCACTTGATGCCAGGAGTTTGAAACACCTCGGGCAACATAGTGGGATTCCATCTCTACAAAGAGTACAAAAGTTAGCCGGGTGTGGTGGCGCACACCTGTAGTCCCAGCTCCTCAGAGGGCTGAGGTGAGAGGAGCTCTTGAGCTCTGGAGGTCAAGGCTGCAGTGAGCCATGATCACACCAGCGTACTACAGCCCTGGAGATGGAACAAGACATTGTTCCATATAAAAATAAATAAACAAACGTAGGAAATTGAGTGGGCCCAAACCCAGAATCTCTGTGTACATACATGTATGTAGGCTGGATTGAAGGCATTGGTGTTATACCCAGAAGAAATGCCTAAGTTGAAAGTAACAGCTACATTGGGCAAGTCAAAAGAGGCCAAATCTTTTCATATCATTAAAGACTGTAGTGGGGTATTACAGTTACCTTGATGTTGGGAAACTTGAAATCTGTCAAATGTTAAGAAAATGTCAGAAAAGAATTCATAGTTTAGTGTTCACAGTCTTTTCAGAAACTGTTTCTTTGGTCCATGCCTAATGGATGACTTTATAACAAGAGCATTTTAATATCTGTGAAGCTTAGAAGGAATCTTAGCTTAGAAGAACCTAGCTTACAGTAACTTCTCTTATACTCTATGACAGGCATCCCCAAACTTTTTACACAGGGGGCCAGTTCACTGTCCCTCAGACCATTGGAGGGCTGCCACATACTGTGCTCCTCTCACTGACCACCAATGAAAGAGGTGCCCCTTCCTGAAGTGCAGCAGGGGGCCGGATAAATGGCCTCAGGGGGCCACATGCGGCCCGCGGGCTGTAGTTTGGGTACGCCTGCTCTATGATAACAAGGACACAATGTATTTGATTGAGTTGTCATGTGGAGCACAGGATAATGGTTTTCTATGATACATACTAGGCATCTCAGATAGCAGGGCTACTCTGGGCACTCACCTTTCCTTGTATCTCTCTGGTTCAGGCTTCTTCTCAAGATGCTGTTTGTTTTCCTTTAGGAAGACTTCATCCTCTCCACTCTCATCAAGATGAACAGGGGAGAATGTCCCCGAACTTGTGCCAGGCCTCTCTGAAGAAGCTTTCAAGGATTCATCCCAAACATCCTCAGTTAAACTACTTGAACTACACAAACCAGCTGATGAGATGAAATGGAGTGGCACTTTGGAAAACTCTTTGTTTTCAGAAGAGGCTGTTCTTTGCAGTGATGTCTCAAAATCTACGGGATGCTGGCTCTCTCTCTTATCTCCTCCTGTCCACAATATCTCCACTCCTTGAAATTCCACATGTTTGACCCGGCCTCGGCGTCCAACGGAGCTGCTTCGATCACATCCCCCTGGGTGCTCTCTCCCAAGAGCAGACCTCTGCTCTTTCAAGAAACTAACACTGCCTGCAGAGTGGTAGGTCACTGCTGAGCTCCCCAGGGAGGCCACAGGACAAGCTGGCTCCTGTACACAGAGGGCCCCTTTCCTCCCATTATTCATTATCTGGGAAAGCTCGGCCTGAGTGTCTCCTGTTAACAGTGCGGTCAGATCCTTCTGGATGCTCAAATAAAAACTTTCCTCTGTCGTTACTTCAGCTGAAGGAGGTATTTCTGGTGATTTTTTTTGGCCAGGAGGGAGCGGTTTGTTCGTTCTCTGTGTTTTATGACTGGCGGTGTCCAGCTCTTTTTCCACCTGCTGAACTGAAAGACTAGAAACAGCATCTTGGTCCAGTACCTTTGTAGCCTGTAATGTTCCAGAAATGATTCTGGCTTCGGTGGCTTTCAGAGCTGAAATCAAAGAGTCAATGGGCTGTAAACTTTGTTCCTTGAGGTGACTTTGAGAGGGGGCCTTTCTGACATCTTTTGGTCCTTCTGTAACACTGTGGAGCCCAGAGTGGCAGCCAGTAAGAGGCTGGACACCCTGCTGCTCTTGCGGGTGGCATGGCAGAGTCTCACCATCAAACTCCAGAGAAGGCCCTAGGCCTTCTCCACCTTCCTCCATGGTCCCATATTCTGGAAATTCATTTGTAACATTTGGTGGGAGTAAAGTGCTTCCTCCATGATCACCTGTGAAGAGAACACAAGGGACACATGATTTGTTGCAGAAAGACAGGCCCCAGGAGGTCACAATGCATATTCATGTAGATCAGGCACTCAATAATACTTATGAATTTGATTATTTCATTATGTCTGTCCTTCCACCATCCTGTAACACATACTTCTCATGACACTGCAGTGATCCCTTCTACTTAGCTTACATGAGTATAACCACAAAACTTTCAGCATAGAAGGCAATCTAATGACACCTGCCACATTTAACTTTGCTTCCTATGTGCCATACATGAGAATTCATTAACTCAGTTGCTTCATATGAAAAAAGGGATTAAAATAAGGATATGTACCACCTTCCAAATACCACTCATAAAACAGCAACTAAAATATTTCTATTGAGCATAACACTAAAGACCTCTATTTTCCAGTCAACAATATCTGTGCCATGCAATCTCTGAAACAGAGCATCTGCAAAACACTTATGATCTATTTAAAGTCGGTCAATATTTTTTCTGCCAGAAGTCTCTTCTTCATTTTTGGGTTTCTGTATGTGCGGCAGGGGATGCTTTTAAACTATCCCAGAAAAATAAGAATGCAGCTAACATGGAATAAAAAACTTACTGTGTTGAGAAAGATTTCCAGAATCCCAACTACTTAAAATTCATTTTTCTCCTTTTATTCATTTATTTTCTTAATTGATAAGAGTTTACATATATATACATATATATGTTCACATATATAAAGTTTATATATGGTATACAACATGATGTTTAATATATGTATACATTTGTAGAATAGCTAAATCAAGCCGATTAATAACATATCAGTATTTTACCTCAAATTTTTTGCATGTAGTGAAAACATTTAAAATCTACTTACTCTTGTAGCAATTTTCAAGTATATAATAACTTGTTGTTAACTACAGTCACCACTTTCTGCAACAGACTCCTGAATTTATTCCTCCTATCTATCTGTAATTTGGATCCTTTGACCAACACCTCCCCAATCCCACCAACCCCCAGTCCCTGGTAATCACCATTCAAATTTCTGTTTCCAAGACTTCAACATTTCAGGTTCTACATATTAGTGAGACCTGCATAAAATTTTAATGGCATCTTAGGAAGAATCCTAATACGTGAAGTAAAGAAAACAGTATTTAATTAGTATATATTCACTATATGAAATCAAATTTATAACAATTCCTTGTTAAAATGATAGTCAGTGGGAACTAAAAATGGGGACATTCTGATAAACCAAAAATTTAAGTTGGGAGTTCACAGATGACAGTTGTAGTCCTATCGGCCTCAGTATCCAGTCTTCCTCTGAACTTAATTTTGGTTACTTTGTATCATGAAAACCCTCATCTATGCTGGAAATACAGTGTACTCACTTTTACTTTATGAAAGAGGACATTAGTTGTTACCATTTTTATTTATTCATTCATTCATTCATCTTTATTTTTTGAGACAGACTCTTGCACCATCATCAGGCTGAAATGCAGTGGCAAGATCTCAGCTCACAGGAACCTCCACCTCTAGGGTTCAAGCGATTCTTCTGCCTCAGCCTCCCGAGTAGCTGGGACTACAGGCACGTATTACCACACCCAGCTATTTTTTGTATTTTTAGTAGAGATGGGGTTTTACCATGTTGGCCAGTATGGTCTCAATCTCTTGACCTCATCATCTGCCCACCTTGGCCTCCCAAAGTGCTGGGATTACAGATGTGAGTCACGGCACTTGGCCGTTGTTACCATTTTTAAGCCACTGCAGAGCTATAACCTTCCTATTTAGTGGACTATTTGATACATGTCTGAATATATACACTGAAATGGCTTAAAAGACTTGATTCCACCTGTAATCCCAGCTACTTGGGAGGCTGAGGCATGAAAATCGTTTGAACCCAGAAGGTGGAGATTGCAGTGAGCTGAGATTGTGCCACTTTACTTTAGCCTGGGTGACAGGGTGAGACTCCCTCTAGAAAAAAAAAGACTTGATTTCCAAGGCATGCATTAAATGAGGTAACTTAGAAACATCAGTTAACACACAGTTTCCCCCAGTGTGTTAAATAGCAATACATCTGAGAGTGTACGTTGTTTTATTTCCCTTTTGTAAAATAATTTGAAATGTATATGCTTCTTTTTTGCTTTTTAGAGACAGGATTTTACTCTCTCACCCAGACTGGAGTGCAGTAGTGCGATCATAGCTCACTGCAGCCTCAAACTCCTCAGCTCAAGTGATCCTCCCACTCCACCCTCTCGGGTAGCTGGGACCACCACTGCATACCATCCTGCAGAGCCAATGTTTTTATTTTTTGTAGAGATAAGGTCTCACTATCTTGCCCAGGCTAGTTTGAAACTTCTGGCCTCAAATGATCCTCCTGCCTTGGCCTTGGGGATTACAGGCATGAGCCACCATGCTTGGCCTGAAATATATTTTTAAAATTAAATTTGAATCAAGTGTTGATGGAATTTAAGAAGCACTTCTCTATGATAGTATTTATAATACCTTCCACAGGACAGAACTAATAAAATGTAGCTTGCTTACATCTGAAGAGGAAGCAACTTTTCAAACACTGATTTGAAAAACAAGATAGCTAAAAAAAACGAAGACCCTTCTTCCTAGGGTGGAATATTGGCATTTTTTTTTTTTCAGTAAAGAATGCAATAGGTCTTTTCATTTTTCCACCTTTTAAGATTCAGTCATTTTTAGTATATTCACAAAATTGTACAACTACCACCACTATCTAATTCCATAACATTTTTATCACTCCCAAAAAGAAACCCTGTGTCCATAAGCAGCCACTCCCCATTTCACCTTTTCTCGGCTCCTGGTAACCTCCAATATACTTTCTGTCTCTATGGAATTGTCTATTCTGGACACTTCATATAAATGCAATCATACGATATATGGCATTTTGAGTTTGACTTCTTTCATTTAGCACAAGGTTGTCAGGGTATATTCATGTTGTATCATGTATCAGAACTTCTTTCCTTTTATTTTATTGCTTTATATATATAAAGAGAGACAGGGTCTCTCTATGGTTCCCAGGCTGGTCTCAAACTCCTGGTCTCAAGCAAACCTCCCTCTTCAGCCTCACAAGTAGCTGGACTACAGGTATGTGCCACTGAGCCTGGCTGAGAACTTCATTCCTTATTATTGCCAAATATTTCATCATATGGGAACAGTTTTTCTTTGTCCATTCATCAGCTGATGAGATATTAGAGTTGTTTCCACTTGTTGGCTGCTATGAATAAAAAAATGTGTATACAAGTTTCAGGATCTAACTATATTTTTTCTTTTATTTCTTTTTTTGTCTTTGAGACAGAGTCTCACTCTGTCACCCAGGCTGGAGTACAGTGGCACGATCATGGCTAACTCCAGCCTTGACCTCCTGAGCTCAATCCATTCTCCCACCTCAGCCTCATGAGTAGCCGGGACTACAGTCATGCACCACCTTGCCCAGCTTATTTTCATTTTTATTGCAGAGATGTTGTTCCACCAGGTTGCCTAGTTGGTCCCAAACTCCTGGGCTCAAAGGACACACCTGCCTTGGCCTCCTGAAGTGTTGACATTACAGACCTGAACCATTGCATCTGATCTAAATACATTTTTTATTCTCTTCTGTATATACCTAGGACTAAAATTTCTGGATCGTATAATAAATCTATGTCTAATATTTTAGGAAACTGTTGAACAGTTTTCCAAAGCAACTGTACTATTTTACATTCCTGCAAGTAGTGTCTGAGATTCCATTACTGTTTATTGTTACAGATATCCCAGAAGTGGTATCTCACTGTGATTTTCATTTGCATTTCCCCAATGACGACTTATGTTGAGCACCTTGTCATGTGTTTTTTGGCCATTTGTGAATCTTTTTTACAGACATGCCCAGTTGATGGCTGAATTATTTGTTTTTTTTACTACTGAGTTGTAAGAGTTCTTCATATATTCTGGACCTAAGTTCTTTATTATATATATACTTTGCAAACGTTTTCTCCTACTCTGTGAATTGTCATTTTTCACTTAATTGATAGTGTCTTTTGAAGCACAAAAGTTTTTGATTTTGCTGAAATCCAAATTATCTATTTTTCTTTTGCTCTCTTGTCCTTTTTGTATCATATGCAGCAAATCACTGTCTAAACCAAGGTCACAAAGATTCCTTTTACGTTGTCTTCTAAGAGTTTTACAGTATTAGCTATTAAATTGAGCTCTCTCATCTACTTTGAATTAATTTTCATATATGATATGAAGTAGAAATCCAACTTCATCATTTTCTTTGTGGATATCCAGTTGTCCCAGCACTATCTGTTCAAAAGACTATTCTTTCTCCATAGAAAAGCTTTGATGCCCATGTCAAAAATCAATCATATACATATATTAACATATGCGCACAGGTTTATTTCTAGACTCTCAATTCCATTCAGCTAGATGCCTTTTTTTTTTAAGACAGGATCTCACTCTGTTGCCCAGGCTGGAGTACAGTGGTGCAATCACAGCTCACTGCAGTCCCAACCTCCTGGACTCAAGCGATCCTCCCACCTCAGCCTTTCAAGTGGCTGGGGCAATAGGCATGTACAACCATGACTGAACAATTTTTCATTTTTTTAAGAGACAGGGTCTCACTATGTTGCCCAGGCTGGTCTTGAACTGCTAGGCCCAAGGGATCCCTCCCGCTTCAGCCCTCTAAAGTGTTAGGATTACAGGCACGAGCCATCACACCTGGCTAGATGCCTATCTTTATGCCAGAATAACACTGTCGTCACTACAGCTTCACTACTGCTTTGCAGTAAGTGAAATCTGGAAGTGTGAGTCTCCTCCAACTCTTTTCTTCCTTCTCATGTTGTTTTGATCACTCTGAGCCCCTTGAATTTCCCATGACTTTTAGAATCAACTCGTCAGCTGTGATTCTGATAGGGGCTGCAATGAATCTATACAGTATTGGCTTCTTAACAGTATTACTATTACATCTTTTGATCCATGACCATGGGCTGCTTTCTTCATGTATTTAATCTTCTT